AGCAAGTGCTGAAAAAATGGGCATCAAGGACGATTTTGTGTTTACACAAGATAATGATCCCAAGCACACTGCAAAAAAAGTCAAGGCTTGGTTGTCTAAAAATGTAACAGAATAYCTTGTTACACCACCACAATCTCCGGACATTAATTCTATTGAGAATTTGTGGGACCATTTGGACAAAAAAATCCGAAAGCATAATATTTCAAACAAAGAAACTCTAAAAAACGCTCTAAAAGAGGAATGGAATAAAATAACTGCAGAAACAACATCTCATCTGGTTGATTCAATGCCTAGGAGACTGAAGGCTATATTAAGGTCCAAAGGCTACCCTACAAAATATTAAACAGGAATATGTAATGATTTAAAAATATTTATTTAGTTAAAATTATTGGGTGTACGAATATTTATTGTAGTAATATTTATTATTATTATTATTATTATCGTCATGATTTTTTTTTGTAATACATTTAGTAATATATTAATTACTATGTGAATGTTGGTTTATTGATAAAAATAAAATATTTTAAAGAAAAGTGTATATTTATTCAAAAACACGGAGTGTACGAATACTTTTTACACTCACTGTAACTCTCATCCAAAATTTTTTGTAACTACTAAAATCCACACGTAGTAATAATAACGATATTTTTTCTCAGTTTTATCTCGTCRTCTCAAATGATAGAGCTAAAGGGAACTCTTTTAGCTTTGATGTTATGATGACAAATTCAATTTATATTAAACAAAATTTAAATGCTGTGTAAAAATCTTACACTCAGCAAATCATGTTTGAGAGTCTGTTAGTCAACAATTTAGAGTGAATTGACCTCTTAAAAACATTAAATCTAAGATTATTATTTAGATCATTTCATAGGCATTTTATTATATTTTAATTTAGAAGCAAGTTATTTTAAAATTGTAAATAATTTATACGTCTTAAAATATTCATAACTCGAGGGTACAACATCCAACATCTGGTTAAAAGGAAATTTCGTTTGTAATTTTTTGATGCAAATTGTAGTTTAATTGAAACAAAAATAAACATAAAACATACTTTTAAAATTGTTTTCATTATTCTTGAATCATTTGTTTTTTCAATCAAGCCCACAAGGATAGTTCCAATAAATGTTTTTCGAGTTTCAATATGCATGTTTGTAACTCTGTTTTTCATCAAGTCTAGACTTTGAATAACTAGCTCACTTATTCCCATTGATGACTCAGTATTTGTAGATTGTGGCTGTTCTCGACATACTTTTTGTAGAACATGTACAAATCGTGAAGACAAGTTATCGATAAAAGCCGCATTATTAGCACTRGCAGCTTTTAACATTATTACACATGTTAAAAATCTATTATAATTTTGTGATATATTTTTCTCAAAATTGTTTAAACTTTCATCTATTAACTGAAATTTACAGATAATAATTATTTTTTATAACATTAAATATAATTTAATAAACATGATAACATACCACATTTATTAAAATGTATAGTTCTTCAAGCTCAATAAGATATGGTTTTATCATGGGGAAAATGTAAATTAAACGTGTAAGAAATACATGTGCCATTCGTCCAATCTAAAATAATAGATATCCAAAATGAAAATGTAATAATAAATATATTTTGATTGCAATTACCTTCATATTAGTAGTACTAATGCATTCATATAATGCTTTTTGGAGAGGTTTAATTGTGATTAAAAGTTGCTCTTTTGGTAACGTAGTTAAAAAAAATGTTAAAACATCAAACGCTGATGCAATATTTGCAACAGACATGGCAGTAGTAGGATTATTAGCAGCTGGTTCCAAAGTTGATACAGCACAAAATGTTTTGTCCATCCATGTTAATTTTATCATATCAATACATCTGGACATAAAAGCTTCAGATTTTAAAGCAGTTTTTAATAATGTTATGCATCGTTTAGATAGTAGCTCTGCCAAACCACCAGCAACACCATCATTGACCTTAAAGAATGAAATTGTTTATAAATTAATAAATGGTTAACATTTCTACATTATTTATATTCAATAAACCATAATAATTGAAAAACAAACCTGACAAGACATTTTCGCTAAAAAGTTGAAAACAACTGCAAAATCGTTTTTGTTAATTGATAAATCTTTGTCAATATCATCTGATTGTAATAGGACTGAAGGTTCAAGTTTAATTTTTTTTACAACTCCTTCCATAGAATTCTAAAATATGTAATACAATATCTGTAAGTATACTGAAAACTTATAGTAATACTAGGCTAATCATAGTTTAGAATAAAAAAGCATTTAATTGTCATYGTTTTTTGAAATGAGTTATTCTTATGCAAGAGAAAAAGAAATTAGAAAACAAAACAAATTGTTGAGTCAAATAACTAAAGAATAAATTATTTAACTAAGAAATATTGAACTAAGCAAAAAAAAAAAAATTCCAATTAGAAATAAGAGTAAAATAATATAAAACTACAGTAATTAATATGGTAAAACAAGGATGATCATTTTACAATACATAACAAAAATTACATAATTTTTTCCTCGTGCCATTTAATTATGATAAATATTTCATGTATTTATAAATRAGAAAAACAATTTGTGTTATTATTTATTATTAATTATTAAAAATAAAATATTATATAAAGCATTTTAATATTTTGCGTGCCATGGATTTGCTATTTGCTAATTACACAGTTAAGTAAAAAGAAGATAACGGAAAAATTTGAAATAATGTTTTGATTAAATTAGCATAAGTTTGGGCGCCCAAAATGTATCTTTTTGTTTAAACTAAATCTAAATAAAAATGGATTTGATTAGCTAATAATAGAAATAATAACTATCTGATGTTGAAAAAAAAACTGGCTTTAAAATTGATATGATGATGACTAACAAGAAAAATTAAAAATTAAAGAATGTTTAATATATATGACTGTTAGATAAATTTACCTCAGCTGCATTATTTTCATCTCTAATTCGCTGCAATTCCCATTTTATAATAACTTCAGCCATTTCTACAGCTAATTTTTTGTGTTCAAAAGTAGCAGATGCCATAAAACCCAATCTCTGCATGGCACTTAACATATGTTGAATAAGTCTATGTCTGATTGGATAATAAACCTATAAAATTATAAATTCATATGAATTAGTAACAAAAAAAATTTTATAATCTTGAAAAATTAAAATATTAAATYCACAAGGAAGCACCATTACAAAATACTTGGGTTGGTAAGAAAAATAAGTGGTTACRGTAAGTGACAAATTTTATGGTTYTTAAACATGGAGTCTTTTCTGTATATAATAAAATATGTTTTAATTCATTCATTATTGAAACATACATATTTTTAAGACTAATAGTCTGACTAATTATTAAAAAGAGGTTTCTAAATATAAATATTTACTAATTAAAAATTACATTGTGATGTCTGACAACTAAATGCAACACATGGAATAGTTGTTGCATCAAATGAGCTTCTTCAACAATAATTTTCTTTGTACATTGACATAATAATTTATTTCCATTGTTCAAACGAATAGATAATGAAGGTGTTATTACATCCAATGCTTGCCGAACAACAATTCTCACTTCAACGTGATATGCTTTAAGTAGTTCATGAAATACTATAAAATTTGAAATGTTAAGTACCAATATAATATATCCATTATCAAAACATTTTTATTTTTTTTACCTTGTAAAATTATTCGACTATTAACATGATATGAAGCAACTATGTATGACAGTAACAAATGGCCACTATAACGAGCAGTTGGATCAACACAAGATTTTTCTAATAAACATGGCCAAGCATAACTCATAACTCGTTTTAAATTTTCGCAGAGTCCATCTGGGCTAAATGCACTTTCTTTATTGACAGGAAAATCATCAACCAACATACATCCAAGTTGTAATAGATGAATACGTATGCTGTCTTCACCAATTCCTGGTGGTAGTTCATGTACAATTAACTAAAAAAAATGTATTAATTCATTTTAATATCCATTTTAATCTGAATTTATTTCAAAAGAACAGTACCTGATATATATAAGATGTAACAATATTTCCTGTTGAATCTGATGGATCTGTTGTACCATGAATTAAAGCTTGTTGCTCATTATTTTCATAACTAGCCGAAACTGAAGGTAGTATGATATATTGTAAAATTTTTGATTTGAAATGATTACTCATGTTATTATCTTGAAATATTTCAACAAAGCGAAAGAAAGCTGTACGTTTCCATTGAGGAGAGAAAGTTTTTGCAACTGTTTCTTCTAAATATATTCTTAAAAACTAAAAAATAAAAATACTGATTTATAAAAAAAACAAAAACAATAATAAAATAGTTGTTAATTTTAACTTGCCTGAAAATCAGATACAAATCTAAAACAGAATGCTTTGATCAAATGGAAAAGTAAGTCTACTTGATTAGGATTATGAATAAAATACTGAAGCAACACTTTTGCTAACATTTTTGGCTCATTCCAGTGAGAGAATTCAAGATATCCAGGATTCAAAAAATGTTCCTATAATAATTATACAGTTAATTTTGATTTATGTTAATTTGATTTATATTATTTTACTTGGTAGTGTTCAGACGCCCATAGTTCTGATAATGATATAATTAAATCTGTTTGATTATAAATCCATTTTTTATCTAGCCGTACAATAGAATTGATAATCCTAACTGTTTCATATTCAATAACTTTAGTAGGATCTAAATAAATTTGACAAATAAAATTTCCTWGATTAATAATAACTATAAATTTATATTAATTGGTAATAGTAGTTAGTCACCTGAATGAGAAGTTGTAATTAACTCATTTAGTCTACGTCCACTACCTTGAAGAGCTTCGCGTATTGTTTGGCATTTTTCATTGGCAATCATCATGTGTAAATATTTTACCCAATTGGGTTCCTATATCATAAAATAGTTATATTATTAATTTCTGTTTATAAATTTTTCAAATCAAATATTTAATTAATTAATTTCTTACCTTTATATGATTATCTTGTAAAAATAGTTGCACAATTTGAGTTGGATATTTAAGCAAACATCCTAAAAGTGGCATATGAAATGGAGATAGTATGCTCACCTGAAGGCTTTTTTCACTATCCAAAACTAATCTACATAGTGATTCAATGTGCCTATAATTGGCTACAGGTAATTGTTTATACATTTCAATAATAATCACCATTATTGATTCATAGCTTCCGCTCTTTGAAATTCCTAATTTAATAAATACATTGATATTTAAATTTAAAATGTTAATGGTATAAATCAAYTTATAACATTCTCAGGTTGATAGTTGGTAGGTATATGGCTAATAAAGGCTATTCAAACAAAAAATAGACACAAGTTCATTTTTGTRTCCATTATGTTCCCATTTACAAATTGAATTTGAAATAACACATATCTATGATGTAGCAAAAAAGTGAGACACCATGGTAACATGATTATAATATGAAATAAAACTATCTATTTCTACTTAGTTATTAAAAATTACCTTTTTTCATTTGGATTAGAACTTCAAACATTTTTTTCATTATATCCATTAAATGTGAACAAAACATATCACTAAAGCTCGTAGGAAATAGCTGAACTAAATACCATAAACGTCTTGTTCCACTTAAAGTTAAGTTTCTATAATCACCTAAATCTCCTAATTGTTTCTTCATCAATTCGTGGACCTAAATCAAATTCAAATTAAGTTTTTTTTTTTTTAAATCCAATTCAATTTATTTAATGATTAAATTTACTATCAATTAAGTTATGGAACATTTTTATACCCATATTGAATGTGTGTACTAAGTATAATTTTAGTTTTATTTTAAAATAATAAGTTAAAATCACTTTGCAAGCGTGCTAAGGCCATCTTTATACTTTGATAATATTTTTATTTTTTTTATTAATAGCAACCATGAATATATGTTAAATACTCATATATTGATATTTATTAATTTAGGTCAATGCGGTTATAAAATCTTAATAGAAGCAATCATAACTATGGACTGATACAATAGGGGTATACAATTATCTAATCACATGTTTAGAAACCTAAGACTATAATTTTATGAACAAAAATATAAAGCTCATATATTTTAATTATTATTATCACACTTCTAAAATAAGACTGCCACAACTCAAAATATATGGTTTTGAGAAAAAGTGATTTATAGTTCAAATCTTAGATATTCAAAAGTCTTAATCTAACAATTTAATACTTAAAACTTAAGAAGATGCCATACCTGCATTTGTTATCTCAGTCTTAGAAACACATAACATACCAAATTTACACTCAGCAGTTCACATCTTATTTTGTTAATTCATGTTTTATTTCATTACCTTAAAAATTAGAGTGAATAGACTGTGTTTTAATGGAAGTTTTTTACGATAAATCAGTTTTTAGTGAGTTATGAACATTTTTATTTTACTATTTACTATACATACATAATTCACTTAAAAACTAAATTATCGTAGAAAAAAATTCCAACAAAACACAGATAATGTTCTTACCATCAAGTTTCATGATAGGTCTATTCACTCAAATTGTTAAGGTAACAAAATAAGATGTGAACTACAGAACATAAATTTAACATGTTACGCATTTGTAAAACTGGACAACGAATACGGGAGTGGCGTAGAAGCCGCTTATTAAAAACACAGATAATTGATACATCACATTAATGAAGCAAAATGTCTAGGAACATACCAGCCAAATATTAAAACATTGAAAATTAATCGGTTTATTGAAATAACACATCAGTTATATGAAACAATTAGGTTCAAGGTCAACGATGAATTATATTTATTTTGGCGATAACCAATGTATTGTAATAACTCAGTCTTCCATAAAAACCAGTCAAACTCTTGGAAGAAGTGTATAAAGATTGAATTGATGTGGACTCATACCTCAATGTTTCAAAGCTTTCAATATAAAAAGATATCATTAATGCGGTTTTGAATCCTCAAACAATTGAACAGGCTGACACCGAGGATAATGAAGAAAATAACGAGGCACCACCAACAAGTAAAGAAATTAAAGAAGTTCTAAGTGTTYTCAGGAAAGCAGTTTAGCACTGTGTCAATGAAAAAGGCTTTGAGGAACATTATTCTTATGAAGCCATAGTCAACAAGTTTACTCAAACAGACAATGATAAATACATATTTTACAAAACATATCCAAGATATGCACTTTTTTCATAATAAATAAAAACAATTATTTATTAGAAGCAATCAGTAAATGTACACAATTCCCCTTGGTCCAAGAGTGTTCCTAATAAGAGGCTTCTACCATACTTATAAACATACTTTATAATATGACATTTTTCAAATATTATAAAATACTTTCTAAAACCTGAAAAGTTAGACTTGTGGCTTTTAACAATTTTTTAAGTACACGAAAGACTGCCATATTTTGAGATGTAGTTGTATGACATACCTACAGAAATTGATTTTAAGACAGTCATATACTGAAAAATGGCAGTATTGAAATGGCTGCAATATCACAAATTATAAATGCAATAACACCACAACACTAAATATTCGTGTTTTACAATTAACGTATTGTACGATAACTAGTTTTTATTTAGTTCAAGAATGCCACAAATCAAAATAAGGCAGTCTTGAAACTTAAGTAGTTAATTGAATAAATTAAAATAAGCATACTGCCATTAAGTAARCACTTGCTTGCTTGGAAAATTAGCTATAAATTAAATACTGACACATTTTCATTTGTTTTATTTATTTTGGTAATTCTATAAAGTAGCATTCTTACATTGTATACAAGGTATAAAAAAAAATTAAAATTTAATAAAWTTTTTTATGGATAAATTCAAAATTTGTGAATCTGGTWATAAAAACAATTTTGATACTAAAAAGATTTATCTATTTATTGTAAAATAATATTTACAGATTTTATATATTTAAATAAATGATGAAAAAAAGATTTATCTAAGTTAAGTAGTTTATTTAAAGTTCAATATTTTTTTTTTTGGTTAAATTAATTTGGAATTTAATAACTTTTTTAAAAATATGATTTTTGAGAATTTGCTGACATGAGTATATTTCTTAAATTATTTAATTATCATATTTTACTAACAATTTTTATCATATGTTCAATTAGCATATTTTTTTTTTTTGGTCAGGTCTTTCTGTTACACCTTGTTTAGTTATTTTTTTTACTAATTGAAAGTAGTGATAAATTATAATAGGCAAATTTTGAATTGTGAGAGTTTCGTTCTAGAGGAGCGTAATTAAACTTTAACAGATAGATTACAGTAATTAGATCTGCTTACCATTGGCATATCAATCTGAGAAGTAGAAACAAATTTTCTCAAACACTGAAATGCTGTTTCTTGTAAATCTGGGTTATTTTTATCTAAAGCACCATATAAAGCATGAAAAATTCGACTTTTAACTTCAGGTTGRGGAATATAATAACAAGCAGCAAGAGCTCTCATTCCAGCTTGACGTAATAACAACATTTGTCCTGGATTCATTGTTTTATATCCTGGTAATTTAGACATAGCTGAATCACTGGCTTCACAAAGATTGGATACTTCATGATAAAATAAATTGTGTTCTTTTATATTCAAATCTGTTAATGAAAGTAGACATTTAAATTATGAACTGGAAATCACTTAAAATTAATTATATATTTATTTGATTTATATAATGTTCTAATATTATAAAAGAATGGGTGGGCTTACCCAAAATTTACCTAAAAGAWATTGTTTGGTTATTAATCATAAATATAATATATAGAACAAGTAACAATTAATTAATATGATAAGATAAGATAAAATTCACTTTTGCCACACAATTACCTATTGTAAATAATCGCGGTAATAAAGAAGTACAGAATGTGTTTCCTTCCATCATCCCAATTTGTGCTTTAAATCCTTGATGGCGTAATAAATGCTTTCTTAGAGGTATGATTTCTGATAACCCTTCTTTGTGCGGTTCCATAACTTGAGTTACAGTGATTCCTTGAGCAGATGCTATCACACCCAATAAATGAGTGGACTATAAACCAATCATTTAACAAAAAATAAATAAATGGAAAGTAATTAAATTAATGTAATATGCAATATATAAACATAAACATTAATAAATGATAAATAAATATGTGGAAAATAAAATACATACATGATTTCGAAGTAGATCATTAGGACTTGTTACTTGACGAATTAGTTCATAAGTAACTTCATGTATAGCCTTTTTCTGTAAAGCTTGTAGTTGAGAACCAGAGTTCTGATCTAGTGGCGAAGCTGCTTTCCGTAACATGTTTTCTAAATTTTTTTTAGCCTCGTCCAAAACTCCATTAGAAACCTATTACAAATAAAAATAAAATAATTTGTAATTAAAAGATATTTCAATAAAATATTTTTTTCCTCATAAGACTTACATCACCAGATAAATCCATGATAACAAAAAGTTGTGCTTTAACAAATAAATATAAATGTTCAAACACCCATTGTGAAGACATGCTGCTATAAAAAAATTGTATTGCATAACATCCTCCAAATTTGGTATACCAAGCACGATCATAGCATAAAGCACATAACTTATCAACCATGTATTCCATATAAGGTAATTGGCACGCCTAAAAAATAAAGTTATTTAACAAACTTTAAATAATATTAAAATAATAAATGTTTAATTACTCTTTCTTTAGATCCCATAATAATTGTAGCCGTATTTAAAATAATTGTAAGAGCCAGCCTTGCCGGTTTTAAAAGTTCTTTTTCTTGATAACTCATAACAGTTGCCATTGAGTCAATTAATACTAGAGGATCCATACCAAATGAACACTTTTCATTTTTTTCACTGTTTACTAATGGTCCAGCTTGTTGAGAAATTGCCACCATAGTATAGCGCATTACAACATCAAGCAATGTTCCAAGTGCTGTATCTCTAAGTTCTTTAACTGCTGCGCTGACAAAAATACCTAAAAAAGTCAATCATAATGAATCAGTTAGTCTTTAATAATTTAAGTAACATAATACAATAAATAAATAACAGTTAACAATAATGATGATAAAATGTTTACCATTTAATGCCATTACATAAGTATTCCTTACAACTGGATCTGGATATTTGTATACGGTTGAGTGAAAGTTTGATATTTTTCCTTCTTTGAAACTTAAATGTTTATTTAAAAAGTTAGTATAATTTTTTAAAAATGATTTCTATAGATAATGTACTAACCTAGGATGAGAAAAAAATTTCATTAAAACTGATTTATCATCATTTGATAACACAGATGCTGCTAAAAATGATTTTATTACTTCCCAACATTTTTTACGATAGTATGGATCAGTTGATGTTTTAAGTGATTCTGCGGCAGTTTCTATAGCCTTAAAATATTTAATCAAAACAATAAAAAAATCTAAATTTAACAATACACATATAAATATTTACAAACCATATCAACATTAAATGTTACAGATTCAGAATGATCATTAAATTTAATGATAATAGCTGGTTTTGTTGACTGTCTATGCATTGAATAATCCAGTCGTTGAGGTTCAGTCATCATCTTACGATTACCACCACCAAATTTCCCTAACACTCTGGGTAAATATAAAAATTACATTACTAAATGCTTATTAATAATTACTAAAAAATATATTATTACTTCTACATTTAAATGAATTTTCACACATAAAAATATTTAAAACTAACCCTAATTAATTGATTTTTAGATTCTGAACAAAGCAATAAATATATTGATTTTAAAATCTTTTTTTTTTTGTTTAACACAAAAAAATGATTTAATCTACAATATTAATCGAAGTTTTTAGAATTAAATAGTCAAAAGTAAAAGATTACCAGTACTTTCTAAAATAAAATAATGAAAGAACAGGAATATCCTACTCTGAGGCTTGGAAAGACATCCATTTTGCTACTAAGAGATTCAAGGCAAAGTGCTAGTGTGAACTCTGCTCCCAAGGTGGCTGTTATAGAGAAATTGATGATTGTAGCCAACTATCTTTTTACAGAAGTCCCTCAAACTGACTGAGACTCTGCACCTTTTCACGCTGTATTGAATTGGTTTAATGCCTTTAACCTCTATACCGACAAGCTCATTTTCAGATATGTTAATCTCAAATTTCCAATATTGATATATTCATTAAGGCCATGCACTTTATCACAACATGCTTCTATTGGGGTGGAAGAGGACAAAACTGGTGCTCCAATGGCTCTGTGGCTAGGCCTTGAGGACCTCTCTACTGACGAGGCTGATAAAGCAAAAGCTTTATTTGTTGCAGGAGACTTGTACAAATTATTCTACCACACACAGAGGCAATAATGTTTTCAAAACAGGACAAAGAGCTATTAAAGTAATTTCAGGAGAGATCAGACCAACCAGACAACTGAGTTACCACAGACCGACAGACCATAAGTCTTTACTCTATACTATGGCATTACAGAAGTCATGATGACCTCATTGTTATTTGTTTATACTGAATGTTATACTTTGTAATGTAATTTGAATTTTTATGTGTTTGATAAATGATACTGCATAGGGGTAAGTATTGTACAAACGGTCTATCCCCTGAAAATATTACATACCTGACATATTTATTACTATAAGGGCCAGTTGTACCGTCTCTGATTAAAGTTAGCCGGAGTTTAATCGGCCGAATTTKCAATTAAATATCTATTATCAGCTGATTAAGCGTAATTGAAGTTTAACCGTAGACGGTACAACTGGCCCTAAATGTTATTATTTCATTTTATCATGTGAAAGTATATATAACATATGTTATTACTTTTTTAGATAAACAATATAATATTACAACGGTTATACAATACAATAATGGCTAAAAAGTCATCGTGATAACTATTAGTTATCCATCAAGACATACAATAACTCAGTTACAATAGGTTATAGGTTGTAGGACCCTGAAACTTAGTCATTATAATAGTATAATATATACWTTTTATATGAATATAAATTGTAAAAATATAAGACTTATAAAGTAATAACTATTGAACGCAATTAACACATATACTTTTAGTCAAAAATACATGTTATAATATTAGCTATAATACATGACTAAATAAATAGTTTAYTCACAACTTGGTTTTACGCATACCATTCTAGATTCATCTATACATAATTCTTTGCTTCTATTATATTCTATAAAYATTGCYGACCAATGAAATGCGGAGAACTACAAACAATGGGTTAGTGTACACAATAGTGGAGATAAATGCAAACAAGATGAAAACTTTTTTTTTGGCTATCATACCTATTTATTTAGTCATGGTATAATAGTTGATAAATTATTCAATATAACATATTATTATGTTATATTTTTGGAAAACTTACTATATTTTACTTATTAATAGAAAAATAATATAGTTTTATAATATAAAAAATATTTTTAGAAATATATGGCATATGCAGACAGAATATCAATGCTCAGAATCATTTTAATAGGATGTAATACCCACATGTGTTGTTTCCATCTTACAAATGCATAACATAGCAAATTTTACACTCAACAGAACACACGTAACTTAGATAGTTTAAAATTTAGAGTGAATTGACCTCTAGTAAAATTTAAAGGTAAGATTATTATCTAGACAACCTCATATGTTTTTGTCATATTTTAATTTTAAAGTGAATTATGAGTATTTAAAAATTGTAAACAGTTTTTACATCTTRAAAGCATACAAAGTTTTCTAGATAATGATCATASCTTTAAGTTTTAATACAGGTCAATTCACTCTAAAGTTTTAACTAACAGAGCTACAAGTGTTCTGCTGAGCGTTAATTTGTTATGTTATGTAATTGTAAAACGGAAACAACACATGCTAGTATCACTTCTCTTAAGGATCCAATAATTTATAATTTTATTTAAATTTRAAAAACCCACTACAATGACCTATAATGAAATATACCTAATATAAATACTGACCTTACTTCACATCAGTGTGACTTTTTCAGTTATTTTTATTGAACTTAATTATTTAGAAGACACTATAAAGGTATTTTGTCCCTCCAACTTACAAATAATTTTCATAGAAAATGTACACTATTTTTTATAAGTACATTATGTTTAACTTTATTAGTTGAAAAATTAGACTGAATCAACATTTTAAGAAAATTTGTGTTTTATGAGGATTTTTTATAATAATTCAGTAACTGGGTATTTATAAAGGTATATATAACTCACGCTATATTACATAATATACACACAAAATTTGTCGGAAAATTATCCATTAAACATAGATAACGTTTGAACTGTTGAATTTCATGATAAGTGAATTAACTCTAATTTTTAAACTAACAAAGTTAAATGTGATCGGCTGAATAAAAATGTGCTATATTACGCCATTTTATGACAGAAACAACAAATGCCTATGAAGATAATATTAATAGATAATTATAAAGTGGTTTGGTTGATTTTTTAATTCCAAATAAAATATTACCTGAATGCTACAGGATAAACATTATCATTAGTGTTATGCAACGATCTCCATAAAGCTTGCATTAAGTCAGCTCTTACTGGTTGAATATGTTCATACAAAAAATCTGTTTGCAGGTTATCCACACATAGTTCCAAAGTTCTAAGACCCTAAAAATGAATGAACAATTTAAACTTGTACAATTCATTCACAAACAAAATATATTAACCTGAATAATTAATGATGGAGATCCATTTAAAGCAGAAACTAATGGATCCATAAGTAGAGGTAAATGAGGTAATAGTGAACTTAAACGAACAGGTACAGTAAGACACAATTCCACAAATAAATCTTTCATATCTTGTTTATGTAAACCAGATTGTAAGCTATTTAAGCTTTTTAATAAGTTTGGTAAAAGAGGTAAAAATTCTTGATATAAAACTCCATGTGCACCACCTCCAATGCAACGAAATAGAGGACGTAATAGTAAAAAATAGTAATATGGATCTTTAGCAGTTAAAGCTAGTTTCATTGAACTGTAAATTAATAACATATAGAGTATAATATAATTTATAACTAAATTAAGTTCATTTTTATAAAACTAACCTGTTAACAATTTGATTTAAGTAAGGTTGAAGTGTTTGTTCACTTTCAATTGAGTACTGATTAACTGTGTCAAATACTTGCTTAAAAAGTTTTAAATACAAATTACTTCTTTCAGCATTTCCACTGCCCATATCTTCCATTTTGCTTAGTAAATGTTCTAATAATAATGTTGCAAATATGGAAGAAGTGTCTGATGTATTGAGGCTATTGTTTAAAAGTGATTCACTAATGTACATTAAAGCATGATTTTTTTCTACTCGTTCAACAAAATATGCTATTGTAGTAGAAAATATTTCTTTAAATGTGCTTGGAGGTAATAAAGTAAACTACAGAAAAAAACAATATAAGATTATTTTATAAATGTTTAAATTAAAATAATACTTACAATACTACTTAAATGGTCCATTGCTTCTTTTTCTTCTTTTGATCGTGGTCTTAAAACATTGGCATTGTTGTTTTGATTATTTAATGGATTTATTATATGCACATCCATAGCTTGTAAAGACCATTTAACAAGGCCAGAATAAATTTTTAAAAGTTGAGGTTTAACTGGTAATTTCGGTGTACTTCCTGAATCATCTTCTTTATTAGTCTGAAATCAAAGATAAAAATAAATTAATAATAGTTAATAATTACAAAATAAATTAATAAATTAGCACAATACAAATTTTYGATAGAAATCAATAATAGTATTATTAGTTGAATACTTATCTATAATAATGAGATATTTTTGTATTGCTTGTTTTGTAATTGTTTAATAATACATTAGAACCTCAATTATCTGAATCTCCGTTATACAAACCCTCTATTATCCGAAYGTTAATATTAAAAATGACTGGTCGCAGTTTATTGTAAGTACATAATAATATGTTCATGTGCGTAATTTAATAATGTTTATCTTAATCATGGTCAGGTACAGCTAGCTTATCAATACATATTGTATACTGAACATCTATATTATTTTTGTGTCAATTAAAAAAAATCAGTTAGTCAAAAACAATATTTCTCATAATAGGTAATAACATAATACGTTATGTGTAACATAGAGGACGCATCACCCGCATGTGTTGTCTCTGACTTACAAGTGTGTAACATAGACATTTTTACACTCAGCAGATCGTGTTTAGTCTAAAATTTAGAGTGAATTGGCCTCTTGTAAATAGGCTTTTTGTTATCATTTAATTTTATAGCAAGTTATGTGTATATTAAGATATAAAAATATTTTACAATTTTAAAATTTTAAAATACACATAACTAGCTATAAAATTAAATTATAACAAAAAACCTACGAGAAGTCCTCAAAAATAATGTTACCTTTAATTTTTGCAAGAGGTCAACTCACTTAAAATTTAAAACAAACGGAGCTAAATTGGAACTGCTGAGTGTAAAATTTAGTATGTTACGCACTTGTAAGACAGAAACAATACAAGCTGGTGTGGCATATTCTTAAATATGTGTAATAAATAGATACTAAAAATTATATATTCATTGTAAAAATATACATATATATTTTTTGATTTATATTATTCAAACTTTCGCTTGTCTGAACTCAGTGTGGTCCTGGTAATTTCGGATAATTGAGGTTCTACAGTAACTTAATACTTAACAGTAATGTACCTTAACTGTAGCAATACCCCATACAGCAGTTTTTATACCACAAATTATAACTTTAACTAGCGTCCTGCACTCTGGCAATGAGAATAAAGCTGTTGGTGATGAAGAGAATACATATTTTGTTTTTTCTTGAAGTTTTTTTCCACCAGGATTATTAGCAAACTCTTTTTGTTCTCGTTTTATAATGTCATCAATAGTTTCACCCTCATTGATGTCTAGAATTTGTGATGATTCAGATGTCAATGATTTAGTGGCACTAAAATAGTAATTTATATTTAAATATTTTAACACCCTAAAAATAAGCAAATTTTATTTAATAAACCATACTTTTTAGAAATTATAGCTGGTATGTATAATTTAGAAACTACTTTGAGTTTTAGCACATAAACTTGAACAATACGTATTAAAAGATCAAAACTGACAGTTTCTCCAGGAGTGCATTTTAAATTGGGAACTTCTTCACCATTTCTCTGTCTAATACAATCTACTAAATTCATTAACATTTTACAGCACATTAACTGGATACTGAAATAATTTTTATTTATAAATTACAATTTAGTTTTTATTACATAGTGCAATGTTTTATTTTCTTACCTAGGAGTTAAACTATGGTCATGAACATTAATTGCAAAAAGATTAATAGCTTTTACAATTGTTGGTAGTGATAAATGAACTCGAACATGATGAATTAGATCAGCAATAGTACTATATGCCAGTGGTTTTAAATTTTCTGTAGTAGTCCATCCTCGGCCAAGTAGTGTATTTTCATCAAGTAATTTATCCATGTATGGAATAAATTCTTAAAACAAAAAACAAAAGCAAAAATAACAATTTAAGATTTAAATAACAATTTATTTTTACTTATTCGTAAGTCTGTATTAAGAATATGTCTTGATGCGATCAAAAGTTCTTTTCTAAGATGAGTAACTTCCATGGGACATGATTCCAACATTCCAATCATTCCTTCAACTAATTGTACAGAATGAATAGTTACAATTTCTGCAAATGGCTTAATAACAAATGCTAGATAAGATAAAACTTTAATTTGAGCTGATATCAATTCAACCAAAATTTCCTTGTTATAATTTGAATGAGATCTGTAAATATTATATATTATCATGAATCAAGTAAATTAACAATTCTGTATACTCTTTTTTTATACTTGTAAAGTGTTGATGGCTGTAGAGGTATAATTCGTATAATGGTTGGAATATATTCACTAAGTTCTCTTTTGACATTATCTTTATAAAGTTGATAAATAAGTACGATTGCTATTGGTAATTCTTGCAATATTTTTAATGACGAAATACTTCGCGGAATAACATTATACTAAAAAAAATATACAGTTATAACAAATGAATAAAACAAAATAAGTTCTAACTTTTAAGTTACTTAATTAATATAAGTAATTTATTATAAAAATTTACCGTCTCAATATTATTTTCTGATGTTTCACAGTTAATAACAATTGTTGAATATGTATTATCTAGAATTTMACTAATATCAACTGTAGATAGATCATTAATACGCAGTTTTTGTTGGGTTCTCATGCTAAATATTTTTTCCATGTTATCAGGTATGTCCCAATAGATTTTTTTTGTATTTCGAAGAAATGTACTAATCTATTATATAATATGCATAACGTACAATTTGACAATTACATGATTGTACTTGAATAATTATTAATTATTTTTAACTTACTTCAGCATTATATGGAGGTCTGAAATTTTTTTGTAATTCAACAATAATACGTATGCATGAAATTCCATTTTGTTCATTATCAGTTTCAATGAGCTTCATACATAATGTTACAAGTCGATCAACATAAGGTTTTAGAAATTCATTACAAGGTAGTCTATATATCATTTCTAACACCAGTTTTCTTACTTGCTACAAACAAAGTTACATTATGAAATATAAATATTATTGTTAAAGTAATACATTATATTTAAATAATTATCTAGTCAGGTTAATAAGTTCTTCCGGCTGAAACTTAATCATATTAAACATATATTTAACACTTTATTTGTTGCCAAATAAATTAAAATTAAGTACGAATAATACACAGAAAATTCATACAATACGACTGTTTCAACCTAAGATGATAAAATTTAACCTATAACACAGGGGCGGCCAACGGTCGATCGCGGACAATTTCAAAGTCGATCATGTTAGAATTTATTTTTAGGGACACGCGCWCGAATTGTTATCGAACTGTCGATAAGTTTTATCTGTTTAATACTTTAATTTTAATCTGGTTTCGTGTGTCAAATGTTTATCGGTCACAAATGTTCATTTCACTGTGTTCTGTTGGTGTCTGTTGTATTTAAAATTTATAATTATAAGTGCACATAAAAAACAAAAAACTTATCATTTTCATCAAGAATGGGAAATGGATTTTTTTTTTTTTACAATGTTGAAAGACAAGTGCATATGTTTGATATGTCAAATAACAATATCCACAACAACAAAAAGGTAACCTAGAAAGACATTTTAGAACTACGCATTCAAAATTTGATATAGATTTCCCTCGTAAAACTGAAGTATGTAAAAAGCAATTAGAAAAATTAAAACTTGAAATTGATTTTTACTAAACCAGTTTTAAAATCCAAAGCAGCAACAAGTGCTTCATTTCAAATTAGTCATGTTTTAGCTAAGAATAAAAAATCATTTCAAACCGGTGAAATAGTAAAACAAGCTTTTTTAGAAGGCRCACTTTTCAATATTTAATTAATTTAATCACATGATTTTTAGTAATATTATTATTTTATAGATAAAACGGCAAAATACTGGTTTTTATCTAGCCAGCGAGTCCCCTTCTAATTAATAGGTATATCCTCACAGGACACCTTGTATTTAAATTGAGGGTATCACTCAAAAGCAACAGATTTTGTCCAGTTCAGCCAAAAATTTTTACCACCARTTGCGGACTGTTATTTTTAAGGATATAAATAAATCAAGTGGTGTCCACTTTGCACTGAAATGAGCAACTGAAAAGTACTATTGAGCTTAATGGACTATGGACAATTTTAATAGGCTACAGCCAAAGTTTGATGAACTTAGTGCATGCGACCAAGTCTGATAAGCATGAGAACACTTTGTTTTAAATTAATTGTATACATTTAAAAAAATAAATGATTAGCATAAATCTTCTATACTCTGTCTTATAAAAGAACGGGACCGTGTCTCGACCCAAATTTGGTCATTCTTGTGCATCCCCACGCCGCACTGCACAGCTGCGCTGCAACGACGATGACGGACGTCGCTGGTGGTCGCAGCGAGGAGTAAATGGTGTAGCTCATTCTACATGCGCGAAACGGTCCCGTTATTTCGTGAGACAGACTATAGTTGAGTTAATAAAAAATAAAAAAAATGTTTAAATTTAAAATTGTACTTATAAATTCATCCACTTATATGAAACATGTATAACATAAATAACTATTCAAGTTGAATTTACAGTTGGAGTACAAAAATTAAACATCATAAAACTATCTTTAATTATGTGTACTTCAAAACTTACAAATATATGATATTCTGCTATAAAATATGGTTCTCCATCAACTAAAATGCGAATAAAATATTTGATCATATGTTCTAAAAATGTTGGATATTGATGAGAATCCACAATCATCTAAACATTTGTAAATAAACAAATTAGTGTTCTTAGTTATATTATGAACATATAAATTAGTAAACTAATTACATGGAATTTGAAATAGTATATGTAAAAGSCYCCRACAATTGTATTTTATAGTGTTTTAAAACATTTACATATTTTTTATGCACATTTCAAATTGTACTTGATGAAACTAATTGAATTGTTCAGTTTGAAAATGTATAGTTTTGCAAAAAGATAAGTTATGACAGTTGAAAAAATGACGTCAAAATACCATTTAACTAGGTAATTAAGAATAAATCATAACATAACTTGAACAAAGAATACATAGCTATCTTAGAATTTGGTTGTAAATAAAAAAATCTATTTAATGCTTATTTTTTATTGTAAAAATATATTGTAGGACTTAATGTAACAACATATACTAACGTGATTAAGAAAAAGATCATAATATTAATAGTAAAAGATAATTTATTTACCTCAAAGTTTTCATTCAGAGTTTGTACAATTTTTAATTTTTGTTCATCTTCAACATTTGGATCTGTCAACAATGTAATATCTGAACGATATTTGTCCATTGTTGATTCATGATCTAACATAGGTTCTATTTTAACAACTGCAGCCATTATAAATGTTTGTTTAAATAACCATCCACTTCCGATTTAATTACTTCACTATAAATAATAAATAATAAGAACATATAGATTAAATAAACTTTAATAAACAGTAATGATTCTAACTTTTAATTTTAACTTCATCATTAGAATATTGTGTTATTGTTGATAAGTATTAATAATTATAACCATATAAATGAATGTTTAGGTTATTGAACCTTATGAAATGATTATTGTATATATTTCTAATTTCAAAAAAGGTGTAAAGAAAATAAGAACATAGAATATTTGAATATCAGAATAATTCACATTTTGAAGAAAGTTGTCTACAACTACAAGTTTCAAACAAATTTAATATTTATTATCAATTTTCAAATAGCGGAAAAATTTAAACATTAACCTCAATCTTAGATTTATCTCAAGGAGTATACAAATAACAGTTTTTATAACTAGTGTGGACTGACCAATGACCATAGATTAGTATAATATTATAAATTATAATCGTAGACATATAAAAATATTATGGACTGCGCTTAGAGAAAGTCAATTCCAAACTTAGATCATAATATACTATACTATACTGTAAAATATATAATCATAGATATAATATTATCTATGCGTTAATGATTGCATACCATAGGCTTGGTGGGGTTGTATGATAAGTATAAGATGATAGGGGTGGGAGGGTATTTGCTAGTTATCGATGGGAGGGGAGTGGCCGGGCATGTAAGTGAATGGCATTGATCTTTAGGCCGGGYGGGGACGCGGGATAGCCGGATTCTCCAGTCCTCCAGATTTGCAGGGCCTCAGGGGACACAAAACATACTACTTAGGACAAATCAAAGAATCAAACAAATATAGGGTAGTCCTCCCCAATGAAGGAATGTTGGCAATCCTAGTGTGAAGTGAATTTCGTTGACCTATGTATCTTTATTCTTTGGTAAAATGGTCCATACTTTTGGAACAAAAATTAAAAATTAATTCCATAGCTCAATATTATTATTATTATTATTATTATTATTATTATTTATTACTTTTTAAAAACATAATACATTAGTGTAAATGAATAATTGTTCTACTAAACCACAGAAAATTTGTCCCATACTGTTTTGAAATCACGAATAAAGGTATAGACTTTACAACGTATAGTATGCTACTTTAATTCGTGTTTGGAACAAATGTTTAGCGCCTATTAGCGGAGTACTGGAGAAATAAGAATTATTTTCCTCTGAAATACCTTCCCGAATTTGATTTTACTAAGAAGTGCTTTTCTGCAGTTAATATTAGTTCCCAATGTTCCCATAATAAAAGCATTCCTAACAAATTATGTTTTTAAATTTAATTGTTCCTGACAAACATTTTCGTGAAAATCAAGTGCCATCGTATTATATTATTATTAATCATTATTCTACCTATATTTCTCATATCGTGAAATACAGCTGGCGATTGATTTAATTTTGAAATAGAAACTAGAAAGACCACCGAACGGCCAAACTACCGTCAACGGAACCATTGACCATTTATACCCAACTACCCAAGCCAGTAGCCACTACTGTTTGAACCATAGAATACGATACCACCACAGAACAATAATTTAGTAATACCACAGAATTGACACTTGACAGAATCACGATGTAGAGAAAATTTGCTTTCTCTACATCGTGCACAGAATAATGTATTAAATTATTTCATCTATTCTGTGGTAATACCAACTAATACCATTGTTAAACATTTGTAAAGATCGTTATCAATTTTATCACATTCAAAAACCAAATAGCATATTATTGATATTATTAAACATGTTAAAATAACGTTATGATAATATATGTTACATTATTATCCATAAAATATAAATCAAAACCATTATATTAWATAAGACCAACTGCTTCAGCTGCAACACAATACACAACGTAATTGGACGATTAATAAGTCTTCGAGAAAACAGACCATTTTAGTTTTTTTTAAATACTATCATGGATATCGGAGAACTGTTAGATTACAAAGTATGTATCAAACAATGTTTGTCAAATAATTTGACAATACTTATTAATATAGCTTTAATACCTAATTCAATGTTGTTTGATTTTAGCCTGCCAACACTCCAAAACGACCACTACCTGAAGAAGAAGTTAATCAAATTCAAGAAAATGAGACAGATTACGAACGACAAAAAAAACTCAGACGATTAGCCAAACATCGTGTTCAACAAATAGAGAAACAAGAGCAAGAAAGATTAAAAGCAGAACAAGAAAGACTAGCAGAAGAAGAGCGAATAAAACAAGAACGGCAAGATATGGTGCAAAAACTAGTTGATGAAAATCTTGCTGGTTCTGATGTAAGAAAAAAAATATTTGATGTTAATCAAAAAACACAAATGATAATGACACAATAATATAAATATTTAAATTTCAATACATTATAATTTTTTTTTCTTTTATAGGATGGGGTTTTAGATGAAACGGCTCTAAAACGCATGATTTTATTATTTGAAAAAAAAGTGCTGAAAAACCAAGAAATGCGAATAAAATTTCCTGAAAATCCTGAAAAGTAATTTTTTAATATGATTTGTATTCATAATTGTATTATATTTATTTTTGTTTAGGTTTATGGAATCAGAAATTGAATTGCACGATATTTTAACAGAAATGCATGCTATAGCAACTGTTCCAGATTTATATCCTATATTAGTCAATCTAAAAGCTGTTTTATCTTTGTTAGAATTACTTACTCATGAAAACACTGATATAGCTGTTGCAGTTGTCAATTTATTACAGGTTTGTAATACTAAAATATATTTCTTTTAAGTTATTATARTAACACATGCATTGTTTTAGGAACTTACTGATCTTGATTCTTTAAACGAGAATGAAGAAGGTACTGAAATATTGATTGATGCATTGCTTAGCAAACAAATATGTGCTTTATTAGTACAAAATCTTGAACGTTTGGATGAATCTGTGAAAGAAGAAGCTAATGGTGTACATACAACATTAGGAATATTTGAAAATATCATGGAACTAAGGCCTGATGTTGTAGTTGATATTGGTAAACAAGGTCTTATTCCATGGCTTTTAAAAAGAATTAAAGCTAAAATGCCTTATGATGGTAATAAACTTTATTGTAGTGAAATCCTATCTATATTGTTGCAAAACAATGAAGAAAATAGAGCTTTAGTGGGAGAAATTGGAGGAATTGATAATTTATTACAACAACTAGCAGTAAATATTTATATAAGCTATATGTTAAAATAAATAGTATTTAATATATGTTTAATTTGATTTTTAGTATTATAAAAGACATGATCCTTCTTCTACTGATGAACAAGAAATGATGGAAAATCTTTTTGATTGTCTTTGTTCTTGTTTAATGGATAAACAAAACAGAGATAGATTCTTGAGAGGTGAAGGACTTCAGCTTATGAATCTTATTTTAAGGTAATTTATTATATAATCAATACATTTATTTGTTTGTTTGTTTGTTTATTTATTTTATTAGATATTTGTAAACAACTTTAGAAATATGTTCTTGTTTCAGGGAAAAAAAATTAAGTAGAAATGGTTCATTAAAGGTATTGAATCATGCTTTATCAGGTCCACAAGGCAAAGATAATTKCAATAAATTTGTAGATATTTTGGGACTTCGGACCATATTTCCACTTTTCATGAAAACTCCTAAAAAAAACAGAAAAAGAATGCTTAGTACTGAAGAGCATGAAGGTATTAAATTGAATTAGTTATTTAAGAGCTAAGAAATTGTATACTTAAATTCAAATATTATTGTAGARCATGTTATTTCTATAATTGCGAATATGTTACGTAACTGTCGGGGTACACAAAGACAACGTCTCATGACTAAATTTATTGAAAATGATATGGAAAAAGTTGATAGACTCATGGAACTTCATTTTAAGTATAYGGAAAAGGTCGAAATGATTGATGCTTCAATCGATGAAAAGGTAAAGTAGTAATTATGTTAGGATTAGATTTTTACTAGTTTAAAATATTATATTGTAGAACACCGGAGAAGAAGATGAAGATGAAATCTATTTGAAACGTTTGAATGGAGGTCTATTTTCTTTGCAACTGGTTGATTATATTATATTGGAGGTTTGCAATAGTAGCCCAAACATAAAAAAGAGAGTAACTCACATTTTAAATATGCGAGGTGGAACATTAAAAACTATTCGACAGATAATGAGAGGTATCTATTAGATTAATTTATTACCGTTAATAAGTATTAGCCATTAGGTTTTTATTTATATTTTTTTAATAATTAATTTAGAAATATTTGGTAATGAACTAATGAATATTTAAATAAGTATTTCTGACAATATAAATTAGACATTTGGTTAAATAATAGTTAAAATCAAAAAATTGTATTTTTATAGAATATGCTGGAAATCTAGGCGAAGATGGGGATAAAGAATGGCAAGAACAAGAGCAACGTCATATTTTAAAAATGGTCGATAAGTTGTAAATTTTAATGTAAAAAAAGTTATAAAATTAAGATAATCTGATATTATGATTGTAAAAATATACATTATTGTATGAAGTATATTTAATTATATCAATTACCTGCCACTAATTATTGAATTCTTGATTGATAATTTTTTATTGTTCTATGATATATATAAAATACTAACTAACAGAATTATACTTTGTTGGTCTATGTTTGCATTAAATAATTAATTAATTTAATGGTAAATGATTTGATTTGATGTATTATTTTTTTTATCATAGACTGATAGCTATTAGCCTATTTATCAATATTTTGTGATATAATTTATTTTTAATTTATGTTACTTAAGTAACAATTCTAGTATTTTTAGTATTTACAAATTTAGAATAGTTGAAACCTATACACATAGATAAAAGGTATTGCATTTATACCTTGCTTACAAATATTAAAAAAATAATAGTCTTAAGTGTTAAGATTTTAAAAATTAAAAATTACCAAAATCCTGATTATCTTAATAATTAGATTAGTAAATTTAGTTAAACATGAATCCTCAAGTAATTTTACAGCATTTTATTGTATTATATTATTATCTAGTATTTTTCTATCAAAAATTAATTTTTACWATTTACCATTCTGCTGAATTTTAAGTTAATTTAGTTCACTGTTGGAGTAGTGTTAGGTTTTACCATGGTACCATTGTATATTTG